TAGTGTGCACTAGGGCCCATTCCAACCACTGTATGCCACTGGACCACATACAGTATACTTATCTTCCTACTTATGTGTAATGCTTAAAGATGTAAAAGATGATTTGTCCAAAAATCAGTCTTAAATTTGATTTAAAATGATCCAGAAAAGGTCTTTTAAAGCATTCAGTGTAAGTGTCTGATACCTGTAGACACCTTGTTACATATACACACTCTCTCTCTACATATAGTGCTGACGATGGCTGTAGTTTTTCAGATATCTCTAAAACAATTTTCATCACATATTTTAAATGTATTCTATCTCAGTATCTCCACCAAAGGCAGAAAGACATGTTTTGTGCCTGCTAAGAAATGTAAACCTATTCTAAATGAAATATTAAATGTATTTTTTTTCCATGCAGCATCTCAGATTTAGAAGTAAATTATTGAAGTTGTGATACCTACGTTAAAAATGTTTATGGTCACCATGGAGGTGGACTGACCTGCCATAAATCTAATACCACCTGAGTGTATCCACAGTCTACTGATGTATAGATCACTGCCTCATCCCCTCCAGTTTCCTTCCAATCCAGCATTGACCAGGCAAGAATCAAGCCACTAAGCAGTTAGGGGTTATTGATGGAAGAGCTCTCTCTGCTCACTGCTGTCCGCCTCCATAAAACGCAGGAATCCAGAGGAAAACAGCTCGATGGCTGCAAGTGAGTCACACCTAAGTGGTTTCTGTAGTACTTAGAAAACACCAACCATTCCTGGAAATCCTTAGTCATTGGATAGAAGGACGGGAAAACACGTTCTGCTAGAGGCCGCCTCGGAAGGATGCAGCAAGATCTGATAGCTTGAGGGGGAAAATTTTTATTTCATAATTCACTTACTGGAATTATTTTGATTTGGTAATTATAGTGAACAACGCAGGCAGACTTGACAATGTAAGTTAATGGTTGAAGATTACTGACCCATGAAAGCCACATCCTTAAAAGCATCTTTTACATATCATTCAAAATAAGACTACAGAGATCACATTTTTGTGAATTATGCTGTATTTTGGACACTGGGGGAAGATGTTAAAATACCTTTGTCTCTATTGTAGCCTCTCAGAATTCATTTTGAATGCCTCCTATATACATGTATTTTTAAGCCCTTTTTATATTTTAAAACCTCTGTCTCAACACACTGTGAGGTATATGTGCATTTTATTTATTTACTTTGCAGGACAGGTGCAGTATGTCATACTATAGTGTTCTCAGCACACAAGCAGTGTATGAAATAATCATTTGCTTCTTGACAGCAGCTCTAAAGCTCTGATTCAACTGGTAAATAGTTTACAACCATTAAATCTGTCCTGCCCCATCCTATATGGATTGATGTCTATTGTTTGCGCTGACTCAGGCGCTGTAACATGAGCCTGCTAAGTGTGTGTGTGTGCGTGTTGGAAAGTGTATTGACCAAACAGTGACTTCACCATTAAGGTGAGCCTTACTGCCTCCTCAGCAGCTTCGCCCTGGACGCTCAGTCCAGGCCTTTTTCAATGGTGCTTACATTAAGTACACAAACAAGACTGCAACAATGGAAAGAGCTCACAGTGCGTCTGTAGACGTGCAAACACAGGGGAAACCTCTTATACAATAGGAAGTAATGTCTGTGATCATGATTATCATCATAAGAGGAAAGAAACACGGCCACACACGTGTAATTCAGTTTCTAGTTTCTCAAGCCACAGAGAAACCAGCAACCATCACACCCTCCCAGTGTATTTTGTAGCAGGGCTGGGAGACATAGTGGAATATTTATTGTATGATTATTGTATGAAAATTGATTTCTCAGTATGCCATGCTATGGCAAATGGATACAAACAAGAGCACAAAAAAAGTATTTGTTTATATATATTTTATATTTTTATTGAGCCAGAGCAGACGATACATACAGTGCACTGATCAGTGCTCATTTCCATTAATTTGAAAGAATTATAAAATCATATTCATGTAAAGTCACAGATGATACAAAAAGATGAACGAACAGTGTCAAAAATTTAAAAAAAAAAAAAAAAATTAAAAAGGAAAGGAATAGCTGACAGATAAGGCAGTCCAGGAACATTTCCTACCTTTATCTTCCCCCTTATCTTTCAAAACCTCTCCTGTTTCCTGTCCTTATTTCACTCATTAACTCATCACATAAAATGAAACAGTGGATAACTGTAGGCTACAACCATGGATAGATTACTTAGCAGGCTTACCCAGCCTGTTCTAATTCCCAACTTGTTAAATCTCACCGCTTTGTCAGTGATTACAGCAGCAGACACCAATGCAAAAAGGTACCTTTTGCAGAGATATGATATGCTGTCAGCTGGCGTCAGTTTGTAACGCTGCTGGCAACTAAGTAACATAAAGAGCTGGAAAGTCCCTATGGACCAGCTGACTTTCAGCTGGGAGCCCACTATTAGCTTCCTGTGTGAATGTTGAGCCAAACCATGATGTTTCTTTAAAACCTGTTCTTGTTGCACAAGGACATGCATTTAAAAATGAGGTGTTACTGTGTCTGACCTGTTTGTCTGTTTTGTGTGGATGAAGCCAAATCACTTGAACTGTGAACCAAATCTACCCTCGGGTACAAATGAAGTTACCTTACCTTACCTTACCTTACCTTACCTTACCTTACCTTACCTTCGTTGCAAGTGTTAACATTTAAAGACTGTATGTCTCTAACAGGCAGAAACTGTACATTTCCTGTGAAAACAGAAGTGTATTTTTGAACAGACACTTCATGTCACAAGCAGATCTTCACAGGCCAACAGCAGACGCAAGAGGATACCTAGCAGGTAATAGTTAGACATTGAAGTCAACGGACAAAGTGGCAATGAAGAGTTGGAATGAGACAGCATTGGCCTCCCGGGCACAGGCCCAGGGGCCCTAAGTGACATGGGCCCCACTGGTCCTTCATCTGCAAAATGTCACTCAAAGTACTGTAATATACCGACCATATCTGCGCCCAGGAGCCCATTGTCTCATAAGCCACCCACGGCTACAACTCAGGAACTTCTATGTGAAAGGTGTGATGTGACAGATTGCCAAATCATATTATGCTGTGGGAGATTGCCCTTTAAGACATATTCAGCCCAGCTGCTAGAAGAAAATGTTGGCATCATATGTTTCTGCAGACCACGTTTCATACATAGACTATCATATCAATGTTAGAAGTGACATGGTATATGAGCTGACTGTCATCTGGAGGTTAGAAGGATGGTGGATGGTGTGACATCTACATGCCTGCAAAGCTGCAGACCACTGTTTGAAACCAACAAACAACAAAGCCGGTTGTGATTTAGCAGTCATTGCTGTGTTGCCAGAGGCTTTTCAGCCACCAGATGTGGGTGTTTTGGAGTGACCTGTCACTATTCTTCCAGTGACTATTTAAGCAATCTGTTGCCTTTTTTCCAGCGGCTGTTTAAGTGACCCATCACTGTGTTTCGAGCAGCTTTTAGGTATGGAAGCGGTTGCTGCTTTTTTTTTTTTACAGAGACATCACTACTTTTTCTGCCAAGATTGTGACCCCCAGACCAGATATTTTCAAACCAAAACATGATATTTCCTGACAATAGCCAAGAGATTTTTGTGCCTACAACCAAACCTAACGTTAACCACAGTGTTGTTGAAACATAAAGTGCCAGTGTATCAAGTACATAATAATGTGCAAATGTAATGTAGCAGTTTGCAGAAACGTACAATATCAACATATTTTTTTGCCGACTGGGTTGACATGTCTTTTTCTTTCCAAATGTACTGATTAAATCATGTTTTGAAGTAGGAATCGTAGTTTCTTTCCATTGCATATGTAGCAGTAGGTTTTTTTCCTGCTGTGAGGGGACAGTGAGAAAGAAACTGTTATTGAGTTGTGGTGAGTCTTTTTTCATGCCTCTGGAAGCTAAGGTTCAAAGATCATTCTTGAACAAGAAGTCCTTAAAGTTGATCAAAAAGCCACCAAATGGACGTTGTCATCAGCATTGTTCCACATTGAACTGAGATAGTCCTGCTGCTGTCATATACGTCAGTGCCATTATATCATGTCTAAGAACACAAACTTAGTAGATGATCCCAACTCATACAGCAACAATAACTCATCATGCACCGGAGTGTGGAGGTGATAAAAGAACCTGCGTCACAGAGTATTGCTTATCCAAGAAACCTGATTTCCGAACATCGTAAGTGCTTCCTGCAATTTGAGGCATTTCCCATCAGCGCTCAGTCATGCTGTCTCCCCATACACTGGCAGATCCCTTTTTATTGTTGGACGGCCTCCAAGGGCAGGCTCCACTGTGTGGAAATTAGCCGCAGAGATGCTATCTGTCCACATTTCTATGGTCAGCACACACAGGCAGAGGAAAAGTGTGTGAAAATGAACATTTGATATTTACCCAGTGACTTCCCGATCTGGAACTGCTGACCATTCCTGTTGCCAACAAAAATGTAGTAGTGAAATCAAAGGGAAACAAGCTTTTCCAGGTCACTGAATGTGCCTTTTTACTGTACTAACTCATTTAGTGTATGTGTTTTTGCTCTACATGTGTTTACCTGCTGTGTGTGTGTGTGTGTGTGTGTGTGTGTGTATGCATGCATGTATGGTGTGGCTGTGACCGTGGCTCATAAAATATTCACCTGTTCTTCTCCTACATAATGCAGTAATGTTTCTGCACAAAGAACACATTGCCTACAAGCAAGCAGAGTTTGTCACTTGAATTGGTGCATAAATACTTTCAGCTTCAACATATGACAGGTGTTGTGTCATTTCATCATTACACATTTAAAAAGCAGCTGTACACCCTACGCGTTTTCTCAGTTCCCGTATTTGCATATACTTAAACATCCTCAACTTTTATAGCACAGACCCGACAGCTTGCCTGCGTTTTCCTAAAATGAAGCTCGAAAACACAGAACCGAAACACGGAAACAAGAGTTGCGTGCGTCGGTGTCTGTCCTCCAAGCAGCACTCAAGACTCTGCAGTCAAGCAAACGTTGGTCAATATAGCTTTTATTTCAGCAAATCATACATACACTGTAAAAAAATGCATCTGTATCATAACCTTTAAACACTATCAAAGCTGTGATGACAGTGTGTGATTGGTTGAGAGTGGCTACAGTGTCTGAGGTCATCAAAACGATTTGCATGTCATCACACTCATGAAACGGCACACTTTAAGACTGAAATGTTTCCCAGTTTCTAAAGTGAATTGAAATTCCAAGTTAAAAGGAATGAGGGGAGCAAAGACAGAAAAGAAAAACAACTATTGGACAGTTAGATGGCACTTTTCAGGTCTTAACATGGAATTTCAACAGATGTTTGATTTAAAATGAAGCCCGAAGGCAGATTAGCAATTGAAAATTAACACAGGAGATCAGCTAAAATTAACATAGGAGCCCAGCCAATCCCAGGTCTGAATAAACAGTCTTGGGACTTGTCAAGAATCCACAAATCTGAGATCAGTTTCAGTTTTCAACCCTGACAGATATACACTATAAGTAGTTAGAGCAGATCAGGTACAAATCAAGCTTTTAAAACAAAGTAAAAGCAAAACACTGCAAGATGATCATCTTCTTTTTTAATTTATATATAAAGCTGTCTAAACCAAAGCTTCCTCTAGCCAGTGTACTAATATATAAAACATTTTCAAATCCAGCTGATTCTGTTTGTGTGTTTTTATGCCTTAACTGCTAAGTATATCTGTGCTTCTCTACATTCTAGCTATCCTATGTAACAAATCAAAAGATCTGAAATATGGCCTATGTTAACACCATCATAAGAGAGACCCAAAACACAAGCCATACCAAAACCCAAATAGTATCTGAGCTTGCCAGTAAAGCCACTCTTATGCAGTGTAATGACGAGCTTAAGTCAGTCCAGTGAGCATGCTTCTCACGCTATCACCGCCATTTGTCCTTACCGGTAAAAGGCACCTTACCCTTTATCTCCCACCAGACATTTTCAACAGGTCCGCATGGCTCCGTGGTTTTATTACTGTGCAAGAGATTTATTCTGTTACGCTGTGTGCTCAAATCACGTTAAGACTCACATCTGATAAATTTAAAACATCAACTGCGATGAGGTTTTGTTTGAGCTCACTGACGTATTAAAGGTCAGTAAACTTTTTGTTTTTTTTTTAAATCACAGACTTTGTGGCTCAAGCAGTTTATAACTATGCAAGTGCAGTTTCATCTGTACATGCTTGAAGGAATTTTTCACCCTCAAGCTCCATTATGATTTGAGTTCCACAAAGGTTTCGCCTCTGGTTCTACAGACTGAAACAACATCACGCAGGATTAGACATGCTACGACAAATCTGTTTCATCTTCTGTATTCCTCCGACAATGGATTAGAAAAATAGATAATAATATTTTCCCCCCTAACACCACCGGCCAAGCAGTAATTTGTCTTTCCTTGTTGCTGAGCCTTTGAGATGATTTGACTTGATTTGTGTCTCTGTGAAAACAGCTAGCATGTCAGTTCTGATTGTTATCCAACTCAAACTGTTTTTTTGTTGTTGTCGTTGTTGTTGCCTTAATTCTCCTAATGAAGCATGTCTAACTCTTATCTTGTTTTTCCACACAGTTACAGTCACAGTTACAAATCAAGATCAAAAGAAACCTAAAGAGTGCAATATTCTCTTATCTACATCATCAACATCCCACCTATACACAGGAACATTTGATAAGGAGTAAACGGGTGGGGGGAGGAGAGGAAGAGGACGAAGGAATCAAGAAGGGGGAAATCTCTTTAACATTGCGCCTCAGGCATCAACACACTCAGACATCAGAGTGCTGCACAAGGACAGGACACACTATAAGACATGGACTGTCCAATGAAGGGAGAGGTCTTTGCACATGTGGCCAAATCCAAAGCAATGGACTGGTCGTCGATAAGTCCTTGTCATGGTCTCTGGTTGGCACACACACAAGTGAACGAGTGCCATTAACTGATCATATTTTTTACTTAGAGAGGAAAAGAAATCATAAACGTTTGCCAGGAATATTGTTTTTTTTTCTTTTCTCTTTTTTTTTTTAACGTATGAACAAACAATACACAGAGAGTAGTCCATAGGCTGTTAGTACGATTAAGTATCTGCCTGGGGAGTCACCTAGAAACGTGCAGTTTGACCAAACAAACAGTTTTCTCTTTTTTCTTTTTTTGTAATTTTTTTTTTTAAAATTACGACAGATATTCGTCGTTGTCGTCATCATCATCCTCATCTTCGTCGTCCTCATCATCCATCCCAGCCTGGTCATCAAGGACAAAGGAATCTTCGTCATCATCGGTGAACAGCGAGTCTCCGCTGCCGAGGTCCCCAGAAGACTCCAAAATCACGCCTAGAAGCAGAAAATAAATTAAATCATACAACTTAAGGGGTCATCTCAGGAAATGGTTAGTAAATGGTTGTATTAGAAGATTGACACTACTTTCATCTGTACACGGTCAATATGAACCTTAGGTTAGCTTAGCTTAGCATAAAGCAACCTAGCCTGGCAACCTCACAATGAGGTCAAGGCTCTTTGAAGTAATCATGCATACTGAACACATAAACCCTATTAAATCACAATTTGGTCATATGCTTCAGTGTTTTTAGGATTTAAAAAACATTTATCAGTTTTGACAGGTGGATGTTGTTCTTTATGCTGAGATGAACTATCTGGCTGCTGGCGGTAGCTTCAAACTGAAGGAACAGAACTCTTAGCAAGCAAGCAAATTAATCTATCTCCCAAAATGTCCCTCTATTCTGGTAACAGTTTAATGATACAAATACATCGTGGTGACAGATTTAATGTGGTACAAAAAAGAAAATTGTTGACACCAAATGGCAACGTCCAGGCCTGAGGATTTAAGCCAGTGCAGAAGTGCCTCTAATGGCCACTTGAGGCTGGCTCCAAGAGTGAGTCAATCCTATCGCTTAATTTCAACATTCATGACAACTGGATGGGTTTTTATATAACAAACCTGTTTAAATATTATTAAGGTTTAAAGTTCTGCATAATAAAGGGTGTAGTCGCTTTGAGTGACAGGTGGGTGCCATCTGTTGACAAGTGGTTACAACACCAACAAAGCTGGTTAGGTAACAAAGCCATGGCATAACCCTTGAAGGTAGTTGTAAAGGGCCCTAATCAGAGACTTGACAGGGAATCATTAAAAACATCAAAGAAAATAAATTATTGATTTAATTTTAAAATTGTAATTGTTTATTATAGTTTATTTGGAGTAAGCATGTAATTTTGTTATAGACTATTGGCTATTTTACAAAAGTTGGCAATCATTCATAAGGGCCCATTCTCCACGCAACACATTGTTGAAGGGCCCACTTTCTCTATGCCCCCCAACAGGCTCCAGTGCAACCACATTATCTTCACTGTCTATATTTACACCCCTGCCCTAGATTCATAGCTTACAGATGTAGCCATAGCTGTCACTATTTCGGTGTGTTTATTGTAACATTTTGGTTGCCTAAAAAAAAACTTGTTCAGCACTTAGTTGTACTAAAAGACCCTCTAAGGAGTTGAATATTCAGTTTTTCAAGTAAGTACATTTTGTTGTAATGGTTATAAGCCTCATTTTCACAAAAAATAGCATTAGCATTATCACAGCTAGCAAATTTCCTAGGATAACACAGGAATGGCCCGCCTTATGTTGTGTTCACACCAGTTGAATGACTTGAAATACGGAACTTAAGTGGAGTTTATGAAGCCAGCAATGCAATTATGCCTCATACGCTTATTCATTAAAAGTTGAAAAATCTGAACTACAGCGACCAATTCATGCTGCGATTCGCTCATAGGTAACCATAGCTGTAAATCTACCATGCTATTCAAGCAGCTAACATTAGACTTAGCTACGTCCATTATTTTATACAGTCTGTGGCTGACATGAAAATCTATGATTTATTTCCTCCCTGATGCCTCAACCAAATCAGGCAGTATCTCTCTGCTGTGTCACTCACACACAGAAACATGATACTCTTTTCTCCCCCGAGTTTTGCCTACCGCAGTTTGCAGAGCCATGGGTGCGTGAACCTGCCACCTCGTTGCCATAGCGATCCACACACCAGCACTGGCCGCTGCTGCTGTGACACTGGTGGGACCTGTAGTAACCTTCCTCATCACAGGATGGCAGGTACTGACCTATACATACAAGCCAAAATACACAGACACACACAAAGAATTAGGATTAACACACGGTTTATGTGTGTGCGCTTTTGTGTGTGTTTGAGTGTGTGTGTGTGTGTGTGTGTGTGTCTCACCAAGCAGTTTCTTCCCTGCTGTCTTTTTGTTGATACTGGACAGCTCTGCTTTACAAGGGGAATCTGAAAAGGAGAGACAAGGGACGCTGGTAACAAACTGCAGAAGTCTGCTTTTCTGGGAATGCATCTGTTTGAATGAACTTTGCTTCCTTTGTGTACTTTTTGCTTACGTGGTGTTGTTATCCTGCAGTCTTTGCTTTAACAAGTGCAGCTCCGGTGACTCATCTGTAAATACTGTTTCTTTATGACCAAAAAAGCTAATTTTCGTTCGTTGTCTCATACAATGGCATTCTAATGCAATGTATCACATTGTATTTTGCCGCCTTTCATTGTATTATACAGAGTACAGTAATGTATTTTGTACATGTCGAGGAAGAAAATGCCATTTTGATTGAATGGAAGGTGTCTATTATTTCTATGTCTGTGGAAGTTACATTAGATATTTAAAGTTCTGGTTAATTACAACTTGGGTCTTGTTTTAAGAGCTCTAGCTACAATTTCTATCAGGTTATGACAACAATCTGCATATGTAGAAAAATCAAAGTATGAAAGAGCCAACAAGTGGTCGGGATGAGAGCCAGCACCTCCAAGTCTGAGACCATGGTTCTTCGTCGAACAAAGGTGGATTGCACCCTCTGGGTTGGGAGAGAGTTACTGTCTCAAGCAAAGTATTCCAAGTATCTTAGGGTCTTATTCACGAGTGTGTACGAGAACAGCTACAGTAAACACAGTCAGTCACAATTAAGCCTGAGAGTTATTCTGTTGTGATGGATGTTTACAACGGACAGTTTAATAGTGGGTAATAATTTTCCCGTTTGCATTTAACTTCTCTTCCAAATATGGTTTGGTTAACTTTAGGGCTTTGTTTTAAATCCTCATGATTGTCTACTAATGTTTCATACTTCTGTTTCTTATAATATATGAAACCTAAGAAAATAAGTTGCATAAAATCAGAACTTTTTTTGTAATATCCTGCATCACAAGACACTGATTGAAGCTGAGTGACATCTGTGTTTGCATGAATATCCAGGTGTGAATACATTGGGAGGGGTTTGTATTTGCATGTGAGTGCAAGGAGATACCATACCTGTGTACCTTTGGAAGCACGTGCACCACTCAGAGCTGGTTATAACTTTGTCAGCACGTGTATCGCAGGATTTGAAAAAGGCGTCAGAGCACGGCTCGTTCCTGTCCAGGTAGAGACTCTTAATCTCTGATTGGTCCAGCTGGACGTCAAAGTTTGTGTCCAGCCGGGAGAACATCCAGCCCAGAGGGTCCTTACAAATAGGTGACGCCCCGACCTCGAACTCTGCAGGGAATGCATAATACATGAAAAAAGTGTTGTGCATTTTCTCCTTTCTCTGCTTTGTAAATGCCACGTGACTCACTGTTCTTCTCTGGCTTCTGGATCTTGACTCTCTTGTGGTTGCCGTTCTCGTGCAGCACTCTAAACCAGTCTCTCAGACGACTCACCACCTCCTTCAGGTCCGACTCACTGCACACTGAGGAACAACAACACTAACAATTAATGATGATAAAGTGATACTTTATTGTCTCCCTACTCAAGGGCGTCACTTTGTATTGAAAAGTGGTGGGGACATAAGGGCTGCGGTAAGAAAAGTTTTAAAATGATCTTATGTGATTTTACGCAGTGTAATGGGGGGATCAGTGTGAGGTCAGAGTAATTAATTATGGTGGATTGACATATCTTAGGCTACAAGGGCATAGGTTTTGTTTCAACATTAGGGGACACATAAGAAATGTGGGTCTGGGGGTTCTCTCCCAGGAAATTAAGAGCATCATACACTTCATTTCCTGCATCTTTATGTACCAATTTAGGGTGGAAATTAATTTATGGAAAGGAAAACTCAGATGTCTAGCCTAAGGTGACAACATAATGGAATATAAGGCAATAAAGCTCTCAGCTATTCTGTATTGCTTTCAAATATTTATTCTCCTGTAGATCAGCTTTTCTCATTTACTGTTATCCCAGCTGAGTCTACACACATGTAGGCAGGATTTACTCTTCCGTCCTTGTTTGTTTGGGAAAGTAACCTCTTTTTAAATGTAGTGTGGCATCTTTTCACATCAATGACACATTCATTTATTTTAATTCATTTAAAATGCCCTGGACATTTTTAGCTTGTGTGTGCTCTGTGTTCACACTGAGAGAATGGAAACTTCGTACAAGAAGGAACTGAAGAATCTGATAAAGTTACTGATAATACATGTTTTTGGGTCATTTTAGAGTCAGTGGGGCTTTTTTTAGGTTACTTTTTTGGCAGTGTACAGGGTCAACTTTCGCACGGCTGCCCTGAAACTTGTTGAGATTTAGTGTGACTTTATCAGGGCAGTAGAGCTTTAGCTTGCCAGAAAGGGAGCTTTAACAATGTTTTGGACACCATGGAAGACTTTCTAATTGAGGAGAATTTACTGTTCTCCTGCAAAATATCCTAGCTTGCAGCGTGCAGTGATGTCTGCAGAACTGTGTACCTTTCTTCTCTGCTGAGGTCTGTTCAGGCTGAGAGGGGCAAGGACACATGCCAGAGCACTTCACAGCGATCTTCTTTCCTGTGATGCATGCCTGGTACTCTAACTTGCACTGAGCAGGAGTGACAGACACAGAAACAGAAGGGACGAGACAGAAGAGGAAGTAAAATCAGGATGTGTGTCTCATCAAGAGGAAATGAAAAGTAAAATGTGTGCTCAGATGTCTCTATTATGGGAGAGAGCCTGTGTATGCGGGTACCTTGGTGGAGTAGGAGTGGCCATCAGTTCCACAAACAGGAGAAGGGTGAACCACAGGGCATGGTTTGCACTTTGAGCCTGGACTCTGGTACAAACTGGCATCTTTGAAACTAGAGAGGAGATTCAAAAGCCTTATGTCACACCCACACACTGAACATCTGACTGCATGCATATAAAAATATTTCAAATTATGTTATTGGACGTTGTCTCCATCATACCCAAACTAATGTTTTCTAAGCATTTTGTATCTGTGATGTGTTTTCTTGTTCTTACATCCATTTCAGAAATGAGACAAGGATTAGGATTTATATGTGATTATTTTCTGATTTGCTGGCACTGTGCAGTGGTAATTGTGTTGTTGCTAAGAATGGGAAATGAGGTCAGTATGGCGTTACTGTCCTCTGTCCAGTCTGCAGTGTCCCAGACAGACACACACACATACAAAGCCCATTCATATCACTTGGCAGGACTTTGTGTCCGTTGTAAGGCAGTGCCAGTGCTGGGGTAATTGGACTAAACCGTAATGTCGCACAACAATCACAAGAGAGCCAGGCAACCAGTGGACCAGCTGGAAAAAGAGAAAACCAGTCAACCCTCTGGTGCTGCTGCATGAATAAGAGAGAAGAAAAAAGCTGAGGAAGGAGAAAAGAGATGGGAGGTGATAAAGAAATTTGATTTGCTCCTAATCCACTGCCAGTCGTGTCTCATTTCTGGCACCGAAATATCTGAATGCATATTTAAAGCACAGCTTCAGAACTTGAGCCTGTTTAAAAGAGCAAGTGTGTGTGTTTGTGTGTGTGTTTATGCATTCTTACCTGACTCTCCTCTGGCTGACACAAGTGGCAGTCTTATAATCCTCAGCCACACACACCTTGTGGCGACTGCATTTGATCTTCAGACAGGGATCTTTGGCTGGATCAAGGCCTAAAAAACCACACAAAACAAGATATAGAGTGAAAACTCTTTTCAGTGTGCATATGCATATTGTATATGTGTGTGTGCAACCAAAACACAAAACTAATTTCATTGTGAGGAATATGTGCCATGTGTGCCTGTATTATTATATTTTTTATAGCGTATTTTAGTTTGGTATCCTTTTTTTTTTTACATCTAATTGTTGAGTGTAAAGTTTCACCTTTAATTATTTTTAGTTGTTATCTTCTTTTTTTTATTTATGTGGATTTTGTTTATTATGATTATCATCAATAATAATATGAACTGCTGGAGACCAACCACATCAGAGAGGGGACAGCTTTCTTCTTATTTACTTATTGCACAACTGGAGCTTTTTACAGCATGATTACAGTACATTATGTTGCAACACATTTTCGTCAAATATCGCCGTTTGGTCAGTAGACTTTCACACGCAACATAACCTTCTGCATCTCTTGTTGATGTTCCGCGAATGCCGTGTCAATTTACACTTGTTTCATGCAAGTGTATCTTTAAAATACACTAACGTTTTCACTGAAGATGAATTGTTTCTGCTTATAAGATGCATACAGTCTTTTTTTAAGATTATTTTTTGGGCTTATACATAGGACATCTCAGAGAGATAGGAAACATTGGAAAGAGAGGAGCGATGACATGCGGCAAAGGGCCACGGGCTGGAATCGAATCCGGGCTGCTATGGAGGACTCTGAAAGCTTACAGATACAGCAGTACCACCAGAGATCTTGGAAGCAGTGTAGCGTTCAAGCAAGACACAACCGTACGAGACAAAGAACAATATACAGTGAAATTAGTGAAAAGAATTCTACATCGACTTGTCGTGATGTACAGTACAGGCCAAAAGTTTGGACACACCTTCTCATTCAATGTGTTTTCTTTATTTTCATGACTATTTACATTGTAGATTCTCACTGAAGGCATCAAAACTATGAATGAACACATGTGGAGTTATGTACTTAACAAAAAAAAAAGGTGAAATAACTGAAAACATGTTTTATATTCTAGTTTCTTCAAAATAGCCACCCTTTGCTCTGATTACTGCTTTGCACACTCTTGGCATTCTCTCCATGAGCTTCAAGAGGTAGTCACCTGAAATGGTTTCCACTTCACAGGTGTGCCTTATCAGGGTTAATTAGTGGAATTTCTTGCTTTATCAATGGGGTTGGGACCATCAGTTGTGTTGTGCAGAAGTCAGGTTAATACACAGCTGACAGCCCTATTGGACAACTGTTAAAATTCATATTATGGCAAGAACCAATCAGCTAACTAAAGAAAAACGAGTGGCCATCATTACTTTAAGAAATGAAGGTCAGTCAGTCCGGAAAATTGCAAAAACTTTAAATGTGTCCCCAAGTGGAGTCGCAAAAACCATCAAGCGCTACAACGAAACTGGCACACATGAGGACCGACCCAGGAAAGGAAGACCAAGAGTCACCTCTGCTTCTGAGGATAAGTTCATCCGAGTCACCAGCCTCAGAAATCGCAAGTTAACAGCAGCTCAGATCAGAGACCAGATGAATGCCACACAGAGTTCTAGCAGCAGACCCATCTCTAGAACAACTGTTAAGAGGAGACTGTGCGAATCAGGCCTTCATGGTCAAATAGCTGCTAGGAAACCACTGCTAAGGAGAGGCAACAAGCAGAAGAGATTTGTTTGGGCCAAGAAACACAAGGAATGGACATTAGACCAGTGGAAATCTGTGCTTTGGTCTGATGAGTCCAAATTTGAGATCTTTGGTTCCAACCGCCGTGTCTTTGTGAGACGCAGAAAAGGTGAACGGATGGATTCCACATGCCTGGTTCCCACTGTGAAGCATGGAGGAGGAGGTGTGATGGTGTGGGGGTGTTTTGCTGGTGACACTGTTGGGGATTTATTCAAAATTGAAGGCACGCTGAACCAGCATGGCTACCACAGCATCCTGCAGCGACATGCCATCCCATCCGGTTTGCGTTTAGTTGGACGATCATTTATTTTTCAACAGGACAATGACCCCAAACACACCTCCAGGCTGTGTAAGGGCTATTTGACCAAGAAGGAGAGTGATGGAGTGCTGCGGCAGATGACCTGGCCTCCACAGTCACCGGACCTGAACCCAATCTAGATGGTTTGGGGTGAGCTGGACCGCAGAGTGAAGGCAAAGGGGCCAACAAGTGCTAAACACCTCTGGGAACTCCTTCAAGACTGTTGGAAAACCATTTCAGGTGACTACCTCTTGAAGCTCATGGAGAGAATGCCAAGAGTGTGCAAAGCAGTAATCAGAGCAAAGGGTGGCTATTTTGAAGAAACTAGAATATAAAACATGTTTTCAGTTATTTCACCTTTTTTTGTTAAGTACATAACTCCACATGTGTTCATTCATAGTTTTGATGCCTTCAGTGAGAATCTACAATGTAAATAGTCATGAAAATAAAGAAAACGCATTGAATGAGAAGGTGTGTCCAAACTTTTGGCCTGTACTGTATATACTGGTCCCATAGACCACTGCCGTCTACAATGCTGCCTCAGTGTAAAGGTACAATATTACGACCTCCTCCACTGTCGCTTCGTTTGTTGTTGTGTGAAAATTATGACTCTGCCCTCTATTAGCTGCATCTATGCCATCATAAAGAACACATGGAAATATGAAGGTTGTGATGATTACAACATTTGAAATAGATGTATCTATTTTCATACATAAAGGGAGTAAAGATGAGCCTTAATAGTCAGGGGTTTGTTGGACCCGTCCACCTGCCATCCCACCTGCCCCATAGGGGACTTTCCAGCTCCTTACATTACGTTGTTACTGGCAGTGTTTCAAACTGACACTGGCTGGCAGGTTTATAAACTGACACCGCACAGTGGTGTATGGGATGGTTTTACTGTTTGTGTTTTTTCTTTTTATTCTTCTTCTATAAATTCTGCACATATTTCTAATTCTTTTCCTTTGTTCTATGTATACTGCTGTGGTTCATCATGTCAAGGGGTCAAGGGGAGGGTTTGTGACAAAAATAGACTGTTTAAAGAAGTAAGTAATTTAAAAAAAATCAATCAATAAAAATACTTTTGCTATTTTATATGATGACATGTTCTAATTAGGGAGAGCTTATATCTCTGCCTAACCTGTTAAATGTATAAAACACAGCGTCTCTAGCTAAAGAGCTTTAAAAAAAAAAGACCTAGCCCATGAGCACAAACAGAGAGGAAATCTTCCAAGGTTACATTTCCCTTTTGTTCTTTGAAATCCTAGATCAAGGATTCTTAGTTAAACCATGTACTTCCTTTTCATTTTTACAGATTCAAGCTGTGCAGAGAGGTGTTTGAGATACGTGTGTGTGTGTGTGTGTGTGTGTGTGTGTTAATTCTAGCCACTGTCTCTTCACTTACTGGCAATGCCTCTCTCACGCTGAACTGAAAGCCATAATACCATTAAGTATCCTTACAGCTAAAAACAGGTGGAGCTGGTAATAGAGGCTACTTCTGACCTTAAATCATCCCTCACTAAGTGTCACTCTCATGTGTGTTCTTGCTGAGATCCTCAAACTGATCTGGTATCAGATCTCATAGCTGAGGGGCCATATGCTGCCTTGAGAGCTGGTTTTAGATCTGACTGTCAGACTGAGGGTGTGATCCTTGATGGTAAAGACAAGCTAGCTGTTTCTGACCGCTGGTCAGCCTTCAGTGTGGCACCTATGGTGCAGGATCTAAGGCCTTCAGCTGATCTCAGAACAGTTTGTGAATGACCTCTGCTCTAAAGAACCTTACTGTAATCCCTGAGCAGCTTTGGCAGATTATCCGGCCTCCATCCTCCCAACGCAGCATCTAATGCTATTGTTTTCCTGACATGTCTGTGTGTGTGAGTGTGTTTGAGGTTACAGTGATGAGTGAGAGTGAATGTGTTCATGTCATGGTGTGCCTGGATGTGTGTATGAGCTTATCGCTGTCTGTAATACAATGGGGAATTAGATGATCAAAGAATAGAAAATCATTGTCAACAGTAGATGTTAGCTACCATCGTCAACATAAATCACCTGGTTGATGTAGTGAAAAAAACTGAGGATAACCTGGAAATAACACACACTCACATCATGGGTGGATAATGAGACAATGGGCCCCTGGGCACAAACGTGCAAAAGGTGCCACCACCTCTCCTTCACAGGATCAAGACACACACTGTGCTGGTTTTGCCTCTGTCATGGTTGTTGTTGTCTTTTTGTAGTTGTCAGCATTTTTTGTAGTTTTGTGTCTGTTTGTGGTCATTTTGTGTCTCTTTGTAGTTCCTTTGCATCTCTTTGTGGTTGTTGTGTGTCTCTTTGATGTAATTTTGTGTCTTTTTGAGATATATTTGTCTCTTTTTTGGTCGTTTTGTGTCGCTTTATAGTCATTCTGTGTTGTGTTGTAGTTTCTTTCTATCTCTTTGTGGTCATTCTGGGGTTCTGTGAAGTCTTTTTGTGTCTCTTCGTTATTCCTTTGCATCTCTTTTTCAGGTTATTTTGTGTCTGAGGGGTATATTTGTGTTTTTTTGGCTGTTTTGTATCGCTTTGTTGTCGTTTTGTGTCTCTTTGAGATATATTTGGATCTTTCGTGGTTGTTTGTGTCTCCTTGTAGTTCTGTTGCATCGATTTTTGGTCATTTTGAGTCTCTTCCTGGTCAATATTTGTTATTTTGAGTGATATTTTGCAGGTGAAGGCCAGGGGGCCCCTAGACCTATGCCTGATAGGCCTATTTAGTCATCCATTCATGACTCGTATCCATACACCAAGTACTGTGAATGTCAAAATCTGTCTGATTTTTTCTTTTTTCTTTTTACCAGCATGACCTATAAGGAAAAATGATCCAAAGATCTAATGCTAATAGTTGATCTGTATAGGGGTACCACCTGTAGTCCTGGCATTGCATTTCACTTTATGTATTCATCAGTGAGTGATCATCACAGTCAGAACTTTTTTTAAAAGTTATATAGGTAACTGCCTGTGTTACCTAATACAGGTACCTTACACATTCTTAACTTTATGTATTCATTTACACTTTCTATTAATAAAATACCAGATTTGTTCAGCTTTGGAGGAGGTATGAATTCTCTTTGTCCTTTCTCATGTTTTTTGTTTGTTTGTTTGTTTTATCACAAAGCCAACAGCACAACCACTCGAGACTCTCTTCCTCACACCCACCTTGATCGAAGGGCTTGGATGGAGTCCATGTTCCAGGCTCCTGAAACAGGGTTAACCAATAAACACAACCATAAAAATTCTGTTCAAATGACACTGAGAGTAAATAAGACATGACAAATACAAGACTATTAAGCTGTTATACAAACCTCCACTTCCTTTAGTAGAAAGCATTACACAGAGAGAGAATAAAGGGAGTTCATTTTGATTAGGCTTTTCTTTCTGGGTGAAAACATTCATAATGAAATATACTGATGGAAATCTGGGAAACACACACCAACACACCATCATGTACAAACAAATGGAGCATGCATTTATTTAATCAAGATAATGATTATGTTGTGACATCAGCTCTCAGCATAAGAAGGGGCCTGTGTGTTTGTGTGTGTGAGTGTGTGAGCAGTTTCATGTAGGAACTATTTTCTTTCTACCAAACAACACCTGCCAACCATATTACCATGCAGGAGGAAGCTTGCCTCTCCTGCCAGCTCACCTAGCACCACTGAGCTAGCTGATATTACAGCTCAGCCAAGGTGGACAACATTAATGTTTACATCTTGTGATGTCACAAGTACGAGCCTCTTAGTCATGAGTAGATGCACCCTTCCTCTTGCGTGTTGACACAGTTGGCGGGTGTAGTTCTGTAGAAAGAAAATAGTTCCTACATGAATGTGCTCACTCTGAGTTTTTCAGATATATGGTGCTTGGAGCACCACAAGCCGAGTGCCGTCTAGTTCCATTTTAACAGAGAGAAGGCAGACATCTCTACAGCTAATATCTGCAACACTCTGCAACTCACACCAAAACAATCAAGGAAAAATATGTATTTTTTAAATGGGGTGAACTGTCCCTTTAAGGAATTAAAGGGAATACTTTAAAGGGACATTGTGTAACATTTTCAGTTGTTTATTGGCAAAAATTGATGTCTGCATTCATAAATATGTCATCACTGGTGTACTATTACCTCCACCAATAATCTGACTTATTCTCGTAAAAGGAGAATTTCGGATTTGTTTGTACATTGTGCGGGTAAGTCATCTGTGGGGTTCCATTACGTTTCGCCATCTTGAGAATACACCCGCCAGCAAGGGACATACAGCACCGCCTTTGGCGTTTTCGTTGAGAACCAGCACTGCGTGACTGAGGAGCCTTAGGAGAGGAGCAAGAGGCGCTTCGCTACTACCCTGGCAAATTTGAAACAAAGTCACACTCTTTGAGCATAATGCAGGATCATGCACATGCAGCATCATGGGAGGGCTGCTGAGGGAGAATGGTAATGCAATCACAGGCCAGCGCCACTGTTGGCTGTTAGCCGCTGTTAGCGGCCAGTCGCTAACAGCCTCATCCCTCTCCTCGCATCACTGCGCCGCTGTTAGCTGTTAGCCACTGTTAGCCGCTGTTAGCCACTGTTAGCCACTGTTAGCGCTGGCCTGTGATTGTATTACCTTTCTCCTTCAGCAGCTCTCTCCACCTGGGAAAGGCAACCCCAGTGCTGACCCTTGTTTTTTTAATTCACCGGTCACGCTGCCTTTTTGATTCCCTTTTCCACTTTCTTGGCGACGAGGATTCCGTCTCCCGTGATGTTGCATAATACATGATCCTGCATTATGCTCAAAGAGTGGGACTTTGTTATGCGACAGTAGTGCCACTGGCCACTAACAGCTGTTAGCGGCGCAGTAATGCGAGGAGAAGGATGAGGTGTGTGAGGTTGAGCCACTTGTCAGTTGTCAAAGGACAAGACGTGATTGGTTTGTTTCAATTTACATCCGCCCCAACAGTCCTACGTTGTAAACACAGCCAGCATGGTGAGGACAGGGTTTGTCAACTCGCGTTGCGTGTGTCTGTGTAGGAGCCTGAATGAATACTCCATGTAGTATCGGATGACATGGTTTCATCAGTGTTATCATAGCTTTTTGGTACATAGCGGCTACAGTTGTTGCAATACGTGTTTGAAACAGTGAGGCGCTAGAGTGCGCCATCTGTTTGAATACAATATATGATTTCAGCGTTAGATGGCAGAAATTCCTACACACTGTGGCTTTAAGAGCACTTTTTCACTCAAATGTTCTGTATATAAAGAAACTACCACACTGTCAATTCTTTCCCAAAATGGTTTCAGAGTGAACTGTTTTTTAAAGCATTCCCAGATTTAGTCATATGGTTCTATCCTTTGCCTGTGGATGTGTTTCAGCAGTCGAAATAAGGATTGCATGGAGGTGAGTGATTTGCTTGCTTTTAATAGCAGGACAAGGAGGAGACACACCCAGGGGGTGCTGGCTCATGATGCAAGTGTAAAAGGAGCTTAAGAAACAGTGAGCTGTGTGTCTCTTTACTGAGTCTGAGTTCAGACATCTCATTCTCTGGTTTACTCTCAGTTCCTTCTCTGGGCATTCATTCAAATCCAATCCTGTGCTGCGTTCTCTCTCATTCTGTCATAATGATAACCTGTTCTGCACACGTGTGCGTCACACACTGTGTGTGTGTGAGAGAGACTCACTCAATTCTATATGCCAGAATAAATAGGAAGGGAGGGAGAAAAATAACATCAGCATAAATCCCACAATGTGGCCGAGCAGAGACGACTGTCTTATCCACCACGTGAAAGCTCTTTATTGAAGATTTGCACATTTTCATGTTCTCCACCAACAGGGTGTTTCAAACTCAGTTAAAGAGTCCCAAAGCTCCTAATTCCTCCATCTTCAGTTTTTTTAGTGTACAGTTCAATAATTTCTATGGACACAATGACCTCACCCTCTCACATGTACAGATTCTTTGTATGATTGTTATATATTTTCTGCATATAAAATTTACCATGGACATGGGTGGCATAGACAGCAGAGAGCTGAACTGACACAGGAAGGCCAGGGTAACATGAATTATAAAGCCGTTACCAATGATGATGCAGTAAAAACTAAAGGAAAGTGAAGCTGAATGTGCTTTAGAAAAAGCCCTTCAAAAGGCCCTTGTTTTACTTTTGTAAATCAAAATGGATCTTGTTTCATTGACTGTTTCACACTATTGCACTGTATATTAATTTTAAAAAGTAACACAGTGACAGCTGCAGTACTAATACTGAAGTAGTAATGTTTCAAGGTTGTCAAATACCACCACTTTGTCATACCCCTCAGCATCTGATAGGGACGCACAGAGCACCCTTTAGCGTCTCTGTGTGACACAGAGCTGAAACACATTGTACAAGCCCATCTCACTTCTAAGTTGTTGAATACCAGCACTTGGTCAGTGACTCCCGGTGTCAGAAACCATCAAAAAAGCTGCCTACAGTGACAGGGGAATACGCGGCAGGACAACAACATAAGTTAAGGGGGCGGAAGTCTGAGTAGAGCTGGTGGGAGGGGTGGTGGACGGGTCCAACAACCACCGACATGCATCTGGGAGGCTGGTGTTCACTTCCCGTATGATAGTAAAACCAAACCCTGTTCTTTTTTCCTAAACCCAACCATGTGCTTTTATTGGCTTAACCAAACCACATGTGTGTGTTGTCTAAACATAGCCTCTTGCATTTGTTGTTGAAGGAAAAAAAAAATCAATTCTCAGGGTACTGACGTAGTGCATTTATTTTGAAAGAGACAGTATGCAAATTATACATTTCATGTGGAAACGAAGTGTGTTTTGAAAGCTAACAATGCATGTAACAGGCTGAAGTTGACACGGTGTCTCAGAACGTCAACAACCAGCACACCCAGGGTACCTTGCACATCATATCACGACATGGAAAGTATGTGACGAGGTTGGAGCGAGAATGTGTTGCACTGTAACAGGTGATTAATGTTGTGAAACGCATGCGGTTAGGTTTAGACAACAATACTACTTGGTTAGATTTAGAGAAAACATCATGTTTTGGGTTAAATTAAATATGTTTGTTAGGTAAGTCAGTGTGCAATGACTGTAGGCTACATAAATTACATTTTGTTACGTTAAAATTTTTTGTTTCATACAGGACAAAAGTACTTAAGTTGCGTAAAGATAGGTGAAAACAGTACTGACTTTTGGTTTCACATGGGATACGAACAGTGGTAGTGGTCTCCTGAGTGAAAGTCCAATTTTGGTTGAACCACCCAACACCCCTCCCTCCCACTCTATGCGGATCTTCTCGCTCTGTGTAGTCCATCAGTTGCTCTCAATGCTAAATATTGTCATGGATGGGTATTGCGCTGGAGTTAGTTAAAAACCCAATGCGTCTCAAAAAGATGCTAAAAGGTGCCTTTGATGTTGATATCACACACCAACGGGTGTGACAAAGTCACAGTACTTGACAACCTAGGGATGAAAATGGGCTGATTGTTGACAGTACCAAGTTCAAGGTTACAGTGCCTGCAGGGCAAAAAGTCAGTGTGTGAGTTTGGGTATGCTGAAGGGTGACTGGTTGAGAGTGAATACCTGTGTAAGTAAGTTCATAAAGATGCGGTACTACAGTACACTGTACTACTTCAGATTGCTTTTGGTATGAATGTTGGAGCAAATGTGGTATTGATTTTAGTCTGTAGTGCTCCCCAGGTGTTCTGGCTTGACAAGTTAGCAACACATGATGGAAGAAAGCTTCAGTGCTGGTTGAAATCTGGTGGTATATGTTATCTTGCTGACCACTTCACTGCTGTTTTGCAAAGTTAACAGTTTTTTTTTTGTTGGTTTTTTCAAACAGGCTGTACAATTTTCTTCAGGAAGCTAAAATACATTTGCATGTCTGTCTTGTCTGCTTGTTTGTGAGATGCAGTTTCAGTGATGTATGTTTGCTAGAGTGTCATCTGTGGCAGAGATGACAATGACACAATTTCGAACCTGCATTTCATGACACTGATACTTTTTTTGTTTTTGCGAGTACTGTAGTTGACTGTATCGCCTCAAACATTTATTGTTAACTGTTGCGAAACCCAAAGTAATTCCGTTTTTTCTTTTAGTATATCAGTGCACTTAAATCTGCATGACCTATGCTGAATGCAATTAATGAAGAATTGTTGCACCCTTTATTGATACACATGCTGCCTGATTGAAAGGGTTGCATATTATATTTATACAGTACTTCCCGCACTGTGGACTGTGAAGCTCAATTTAGGTATCTTTGCATCTGTGCATGTATGTCCTAAAACCCTTGTACTTTGATACTGTTTGCCACAAGATCCGAGTTATTTTTCAAAAGCAT